TGCAGAAATAAAAGTTCTTGGAATGGGCTGAAAATTTACGGTGATTTTTTTGGACCAAAAGAGACCCCCGAAGCACAAGAGCTGGGACAGGAAGTGGACGAGGAAGCCACAAGCCTGGGGGCACGTCCCCCAAGCTTGTGGGCCCCTCGGGCACCCCCTTGACGTGAGACCAACGCCAAAAATTCCTATAAATACCAAAACCCCCAGAAAGAACCCTATGTGAGAAGTTCCGCCGTCGCAAGCCTTTATAGCCATGAAAACTCAATCCGGGCCATGTTCCGGCACCCTGTCGGAGGGGGAAATCATCACCGGAGGCCATCTTCATCATCCCGGCGGCCACCATGATTAGGAGGGATTAGTTCACCCTTGGGGCTGAGGTTATGTACTAGTAGCTATGTGTTTGATCTCCGTCTCTTGTGTTCTTGATTTGGCATGATCTTGATATACCGCGAGCTTTGTTAATATATTTGGATCTTCTGGTGTTCTTCCCTATCTACCTTCTTGTGATGAATTGGGTCTTGCTCTTTGAGGTTTCGCTATGTTGGATTGAATATTGGATTTGAGAACACTTGATGTATGTCTTGCATATGGATACCCGTGGTGACAATGGGGTATTATATTGATTCACTTGATGTATGTTTTGGCACTCAACTCGCGGATGCCCGATGTGACATTCGGGTAATGTATGCATAGGGGTTGATGCACGTTTTCGTCCTACATTCTCCGCGATAGGAACTTTGGAGTGATTCTTTGTTGCATGTTAATGGATTGTTATATGATCCAATTATGTTTCCATTGTTGAGAGATTTTTCAATAGTGAAAGTATGAACCCTAGGCCTTGTTTTCAAGCATTGCAATACCGTTTTTGCTCACTTATACTACTTGCTACCTTGCTGTTTTATATTTTTCAGATTACAAAAACCTATATCTGCTATCCATATTACACTTGTATCATCATCCCTTCGCTGAACTAGTGCACCTATACAATTTACCATTGTATTGGGTGTGTTGGGGACATAAGAGACTCTTTGTTATTTGGTTACAGGGTTGTCTGAGAGAGACCATCTTCATCCTACGCCTCCCATGGATTGATAAACCATAAGCCATCCACTTGAGGGAAATTTGCTAATGTCCTACAAAACTCTGTGCTTGGAGGCCCAACAAGAGTCTACAAGAAGAAAGGTTGCATAGTAGACATCAGCAACCCTCTCTCCCGGCTCTCTCTTGGGTGGTTCTGTGGTGGTGGGCACCAGATGTGGCTCTGGCCCGTCTGCCTTGGTAGTCAGTGAGGATTGCGGTGGATCTGCGCGGCGATGGCGCGATCGCGAAAGTGGAGGTGTGCTAGTGGAGTCCTTGGGGGGTGTTGGTCGTGCTTCTACAGGTGTTAGCCTTGTCGATGCTTGTTGACCGGCGGTGGCGGCGCCAGTAGGCGTCGCCTTTCCTTCTTGGAGGCGTTGTCATGGAGGTTATGCATCCTCAACTCTTGGGCCATGATCTTCGGACGAAAGTCACAATCCGTTGGATTGGGTGGCGACGGCGTGTTCTAATGTCATTTTCCCTCTTGGTGCGCCGTCTAGATGATCTTGGTCCCATTTGGGCTTCTTGCAGGCTGGGTGCGCACGACAGTGCGGTCGGCAGGTGCCCGACTGGCGGTGTGGGAGGTTGTGGCGTCGCGTCTTGTGTGGCAACGATGATGGTGGCAAGATGTGTAGGGTCGCGACTTGTCTTTATCCTCAATGATCGGCCTGTTCCTGAGCGTGAAGTCGGAGCTGAGGCATCGCGGGGCGACACCGATACCATGAGATGGGCAGTTAGGAGTCCGTCGGCACGAGGCGGGCTCCTTTTCTCCTACGAGGCTCGTCATCGAAGTCGGAGCTGCCTGGTCCTCGAACTCGCTGGTCGATTGTTTGGCTTTGGCCAGCAAGGACCTTATGTCTCGTTCATTCAGAGGTGTCCTGACGGGTCACCCGCGCCGAAGTCGGAGCCGCTTTCTTGTGGAGATGTGATGACGATGACAGTGTAGGCGACCTTGATGATGTCCTCTCGTCGGCGGTGTGTGTGTGGGTCTTTATGGGTGCCAGGTCAGCTGGGTGCCCTTCTTTCTCGGCGTGTTGTGACGTTTTTTGTCCGATTTTTCGCAAATTAACCGGGCAATTCTCTTCTGCATTTTTAAGAAATCGAGATCCTCAAGGGTTCAAAGTTCTTAAGTCAATTTTAATTTTGGTTATGTGATTTTGATAGCAAGTTTCGCTGACGGAAATTGCAAGTGTGATGCTCAACAGAATGTTAATACAGTGCAATTTTCTATATCAAGAATGAACATAGACGCTGAAGAATGGGCCCGCTAAAAACGGAGTTAGGACTACAACGATTTTGTGTTTCACAGCCTCATTATGGAGGCATCGGCTAGAGTTGCACTAAGGGCATCCCAATGGCCGTCTACTTCCTCTGATCTAAACGCTCATATATTTCTTTACCGAGGGAGCACTAACTACCATGACAATAAATAGGAAAAAGTCCAAAACAGACCTGGAATTTGTAAACAAAAGCTAGATCAAACACTGAACTCTAATCCCTAAAATCAGCACGGCAAACTCTCTAATCCCGGTCTATTTTGAACCTTAAGAGGAATTAGCCGGTATTCGCTGAATTGGGCCAGCCCATTAGATCAGTCGCTCGCGCGCGCACTGCATTGGTTTTTCTTCTTTTTTTTCCTTTTTTACACAAGTCTAATTTTTCTCAGTACCAAATTTACATTTTTAACGCACACATTAAATATATTTTTTAATAAATTGTTGATATTTTGCAATGCATTATGTACAGTTGTAAATTGCATGTTTCCAAATACATATTTTGCATTTTCTTAATGACAATAATTTTTTGTAAAATTACACAAACACTCTTTTACATGCTTCAATATTTTTAAATTTGTATACACTTTTTTCAAACACATGCCATGTATATTCCGTTAAGGGTATGCCACAATTTTTTACAACACGCAAACATTTTTTTACATTGTACACATTTTTTTGAAAATGTCACAAACTCATTTTCTGAAACTTGTGAATATTCTTGAAATGTTTCAAAAAGTTTTCGCACTTCAAAATTTTGTTCAGGTTTCAAAATGTTTATGTTTCAAAAAAATCGCTTTTTTAGAGTTGTTATTTTTTTAAGAAGTATCCAAACTTTTCAAAAAGAGCTCGCACTTTAGAAAATGTTTGAATATTTCAGGAAAGAAATGTTTTCAATACTTGTTTGCCCCTAAAAAATGTTTTCAAAGTTCGACGCTTTGGTTTCTTATTAAATATCTCGGGCCTCTAATAATGCTAGTAATAGTTATCTGGTGCAGTGGCTAGCGGAATGAAGTCAACCTTGCCAGGTCCTAAGTTCGACTCCACGGCAGTTGTTTAGAAAGAGAAATTTTACATCGCGTGTTAACGAAAAAAAAAAAGCCTCGCTTCATGTCTAGTGGGCCGGCCCAGTCGAGTCCGCAACCAAAAATTCGAAAGAATTTTTAAAAACATTATTTACGGAATTCCAAAAACATTATTTTAAAAAATGCTACACAATTTTGAAAATCCGAATTCGGAGCATTTTTTGACAAATGTGATTATTTTGAAATCACAAACAATTTTCTAAAATGCGAATAGGATTTCAAAATCCAAACATTTTTTCAAAACGCAAAAATTGAATTTGTGCCAAAAATAGAGAACAGGTACATTTTTTTAACTTCTGAACAATTATATATATAGGATTATATTCCCAGTGTGCCAAACAGGTCTAGGGTCCAAAATAGACTGGGATTACAAGTTCCGAGTGCCAATTTTCAGGATTCAAAATTCAGGGTTTGATTTTTTAAAAACAATATTTACGGAATTCCAAAAACATTATTTTAAAAAATGCTACACAATTTTGAAAATCCGAATTCGGAGCATTTTTTGACAAATATGATTTTTTTGAAATCACAAACAATTTTCTAAAATGCGAATAGAATTTCAAAATCCAAACATTTTTTCAAAACGCAAAAATTGAATTTGTGCCAAAAATAGAGAACAGGTACATTTTTTTAACTTCTGAACAATTATATATATAGGATTATATTCCCAGTGTGCCAAACAGGTCTAGGGTCCAAAATAGACTGGGATTATAATTTCCTCGTGCCAATTTTCAGGATTCAAAATTCAGGGTTTGATTTTTTAAAAACATTATTTACGGAATTCCAAAAACATTATTTTAAAAAATTCTACACAATTTTGAAAATTCGAATTCGGAGCATTTTTTGACAAATGTGATTATTTTGAAATCACAAACAATTTTCTAAAATGCGAATA